AACTCCCCTTGGATGTTTCTCGCTGTTCCAAATACCGTCATATTGCAGCTGTACCCTGGTTGCCGACCACTCTTAGAGAGGTTGTCTGGACTGGACCTGGGTCAGGTAAGCGAGTCTCATGTCTCCTACATGTCAGTACATCTTACATCTCTCTATAGGCCAGAAAGTCATAAGCATGACACTGAAGAATGTGGAGTATATCCAAATCCAATTCTGAAGAATGCTGACTGGCTGTTACCACTCACCGATCTTCATTTAAACCCAACAGTGTCCACCCATAACTAAAGTCCGAGCTTTGAATGACCTACCAGGAGTACCAACCTTTTTCAAGTTGAGCAGCGAGAGCAACGTTTGCAAAAAACAGCTCAGTACAATCTAAGCTCAAATCTTTACTAGGAAAAAAAGTCTGACAGGAGTTCCACTTTCATTGTTTTCAGTTTGCGTTTCCCATCTCATATACATACCTTTTGAAGTTTTAAAGCAGCTTGCGGCACTGAAGGGACTGTGCTTTCTTATTTGTACATCATAGATCTGAGCCCTCAAGCAATAGATCACATCAACATGAAGGTCTTTATACAGTATCTCAAAGGATGTCAGTATTGGTCTGAATTGATTCTAAAAAACAAAGAAGGTTCTGGGGATCAGCAACCAGTTTATGTGTTGGTCCCCCATCATACAAACTTGAGCCACTATGACTAATGCTGGCTGCTGTAGTGGTTGGATGCAAAGTCAGATCCGTATATTGACCAGAAACATTGTATGTCATCCTTTTCTCTGGACAAAGTTTCTTCTGCATCAAGGAAGAATGACATGACAATGGCCTTCATAAAGTGAGCCTACATGGTTCCTAAATGTTTTTGATCCACATCCACTATTCCTCCCAGATACCAACGACGGTACACTATTCCTCCCAGATACAGTACCAATGACGGGACACTATTCCTTCCACTGATACCAATGATAGCACACTATTCCTTCCACTGATACCAATGATAGCACGACTCCTCCCACTGATACCAATTATAGAACACGACTCCTCCCACTGATACCAATGAAGGAGCACTATTCCTCCCACTGATATCAATGAAGGAGCACTATTCCTCCCACTGATACCAATGAAGGAGCACTATCCCTCCCACTGATACCA